TCATCCCTTCAAGTGCATACACTGACCTGACATATACCAAAGTAGAGGGGAAAAACTCCCTCAGCTGTATTTGATTCCAGGCATGAGTCATAGCTGACAGCCAGTCATGTAGTCACAGGGTATCAAAAGCCAGGCTCAGGATTAACCAGGTGGGGAAACTTCCTGTTCAGAAAGGAAATAACAAAATGTGGAAAATAAGTCTAGAGTCTCCTTCCTTACGCCATGCCAAGGTCATCCTGTCAACTTTTCCCAGGGAAAGACATCCACCTGTAGTAGTTCTCATCAAAAGTTTGTTCTGTGTGAAAGCCTTTCCACATTGATTATATTCATAAGATTTCTCTCCGGTGTGGATCCTCTAACGTATCAAAAGATTGGTGTTCGGTGTGACAGCCTTAGGACACTGATTTTATTAACAAGTTTTCTCTGCAGTATGGATTCTCTGATGTGTAGAAAGACTGGAATCATATCTGAAAGTCTTTCCACATTGATTACATTTAGATTTCTCTTCATTGTGAATTCTCTGATGTTGAGGATGACTGGATTGACTTCTGAGATCTTTCCACATTGACTTCATTCATAAGTTTTCTCAGCAGTGTGGATTCTCTGATGTATCAAAAGATGGGTGCTCTGGATGAAAGTCTTTCCACATTGATTACATTTGTGGAGTCTCTGATATATAGAAAGAATGGAAATCTGGCTGAAAGTCTTTCTACAATTTTACATTTACAAGGTTTCTCTCCAGTGTGAACTCTTTGATGTTGAGGAAGACTAGATTTCTTTTTGAAAGTCTTTCCACATTGATTACATTCAAAAGTTTCCTTGCAGTGTAAATTTTATGGTGGTCAATGAGATCTGAGTCATGGCTTAAGGCCTTTCCACTTTTATTCCCTATATAAACCATTTTTCCAGTATAACTCTTCTGATATCTAATGACATCTAAACTAAAGCTGATAGCCAGTTCTTGTTGAAAACTTTGAAATATTTGCACTGAGGAAGGCTTCTTCAGTCTTTTCAGTAAAGCATTCCTTATCATCACTAGGCTGAAAAAAGTCATTCTCTGACATAATTTTCTTACACTGAATAAGGGCTGAAAATTGTCTGAAACCTTTTCCATCTTTATCAAATTCACAGTGACTATTCTGATTTTTCACTATCTTGATATCTGAGCTACAGATTTCTCTCAAATTGAAGTCACAGGGACCATCACTCATAAATCTTTGCTGTCAAGATTCTTCTACAGAAATACTCAGCTTTAAAGTAGTCTCAATTGTGCATCTACTCTCTGAATCTTAAGGAAATACACACACAGAGATGTATGCATTGAAATAAATCCTCTTCCTTTCATTGAAAGAAACAAAACTGACTAGTATTCTATCTCACAAGTCAAAAGAAGAGTTTTCAAACTTAATGGACAGAATCAATCAATTGAAAATGCCATTAACTCACATCTACAGGATGATTTAATTTATGAAGAACTTCATCAAAAAATGACATTGGACGATCACAATAAATCTGTGATACAGGCAGGGTTCTCATTATACTTTACAGCTGAAGCTCTGAGCTCAGAATAGCCAAGTCACATGACTAACATCCCTGCAAGAGACACTAGAACTTAAACCCTGGGACTGAACATGTTCTTTCCCTAGCACTAGATGGCCTTTCTCCACTTCCAATTTTTTATTCAAATGACTTTTGTGATTATTCTTTTTAATTTGTTGTGCTCAAGTAAGACTTCCGCTTTTCTATATGGGTCAGTTTTGATCCACTATTACTTGGTCATCCTTTGTAAATTTCATCTGTTAAGCTGAGAAATAGGTTTAAACTTTTCACCTGTCATGTATTAGTTTTCAGTGTTATGTTCAACTTTTCTTATACTTTATTCAGATCCATTGATATTATTCCATATGCTGCACATATACTAAAAACTTAAATTGTTCCATCATTTACCATATCTTTGACCAGAATGTAATTTTCCTCTTGATCCTTTTTAATCTTATTTTTTTTTCAGGTTCCATGTCTAAGATCACAACATATCTTCCAACCTTACTTTTTCCTCTTCACCAGAGGCTTAAGATTCTGTTTTGACCCATGACTTCTAGCTACTATTTATTTTAAAAATTTTTATCTTTAAATGCCTGTGTCCCCTAAATAAAAGAGTCCTTATAACAAACAAAATGAAAAAAAAAATCCAAGCATTTCACGCATTCAAAAACATTATGTCTCATTCTATATTTTAAGGCCATCTTCCTTCTTATGGGAAGCAGACAACAGGATTCCCTATTAGTCCACTGTTAGCACCTCCCATTTAGTGGTTCATGAAAACATTGGAGGGTTCATGACTATGGTCTAAAAGATTACAGCTAAATATTCTTTAATGGTAATTTAAGCAGTAAATTACACAATTTTGCTACAAATATTTTTTTTCTCTGAGACAATAAGCATGTGTATGTTGGAAACATAACAAGTTTCTTTATGCAGTGATTCCAGAACATTATGATCAGGCATACAATGATTTTGGTGTTCATGCAGTGATTGCACCAAACTCTGATTCCTTCTGAATATGTAAAACATATTCTGTTCCTCAGCCCTTCATCAAATTTTTTCCAAACCACTAGAAAGGTTTCACATGCAAGTGCAAATCAATTCCCAGTCACAGGTAAGCACATACCAACATTTGCTTTCTGTAATATTCTGCCCCAGAGTAGTTCCCTCATTCCAGAATTACTTTGTAATTGCATTTCAGTGCAGTAATCATTATATCAAGAGCTCACAAATGTATATGTTCTTGGAGCACAGATAGCAAGTTCTTTGGAAAACATGCTCACTAATCATGGGCATTGTAGTGTTGAGGCTAATTTTTGATTTGAAATTATTTCCTGCTTGGGTTACTATTCTTATATTGGGCAGATTTTCAAACAATCAGGTTGGAAAGATAGGTCAGTCACTCTGTAGAGTTTCTGTGCAGATGTAGACATTGTGCCTGTGGTAGAAAGAAGAAATTCAAGTCTGGGGATTCTTTCCTTAAAAACCTTGCTTAATATAAAAGCATTTCTTTAAAAAATGCAAAGCAATATAGGCAATTGAACTTCAAAGGCATTTAACATTTAATTGTCAGCAAAAGGAAAAAGAAATCTTTTATTTATTATCTAGTGATTCATTTTGGTCACTGGTTTGTGGGCTAAAAATTTAAAAATGAGTTTCCATCCCTCACAAGGGAGGTTTTAAGTTTTCTTACCATTTTCCATATATGAATGAGCATTTTCACCCTGGTCGCCCCCCCTTCCCTTCTTTCTTGCCTCCTTTGGTGTTCCCCACCCCTCACTGTCTTCCATTAAACTCCTTAAGGGCAGGACTGTCTTTCTTTTGATTCATTACATCCCCAGCACTTAGCATAGTGTCTGACACATAGCAGGTACTTTGGAAATGTTTATAAAATTGTATTATTGGATTGAATCTTTTGTCTCAGAATATTCGCTCCTCTTTCATCTTCATTCTTTCCAATAATTTTCAATTCTGCCCATCTATTGGTTCCTTCCCTCCTGCCACAAATAAAACCAGGCCTCCCTGATACTCAAAAAAAGCCTCACCTGGTCCATTCATCCCCACTAGATATTGTCCTGTCTCTTCCTTTTCACTGCTAAATACCTAGAGATGGCCATCTACAACTGGTATCTCCAATTCCTTTTTTTGCTGTCTTTGAAATCCAGTGCAGTCTTCTTTTTTGACTAAAATAATCCTCTGAAAAGTTACAAATCATCTTCAAATGGCTAAGTCCAATGACCTTTTCTCCATCCTCATCCTTCTTGACCTCTCTGCCACCTATTACACTGTCAATCACTGCCCTTTTTCTGCATACTTTCTTCTCTCTAGGTTTTAGGAACACTGCTCTCTCCTGGTTCTCCTCCTTATATGTCCAAAACTAAACTCTTTATGTTTCCACCAATCTTTCCACCTTTTTACTCGATTATTGCTGTCAGGGCACCACCCTATCAATCGTCCAGCCTTACAACCTAGGAATCACTCACTGACCACCTTTCACACACTCACAACCCACATTTCAATCTTTTGGAAAGTCTTACTTTTCTACCCTCACTCCCAAAACTGCTCTTCTCTTGGTCCAGGTCTGGATAATCTCAAACCTGTGGTATTGCTAGAGCCTGCTGGTGGGTCTCACTGCCTTAATTCTCTCTCCAGTCTACTCAATCCTCCATGCAGTATCAAATTCACTTTCCAAAATAAAGTACACTTTTGACCATGTCACTACCTACTCGATAAACTCTAGGGGTTCCCTAGTACCAGGACCGAGTACAAAATCCTCTAGGAGCTCAAATTCTTCATCTTCTTCCCCTCCCTTTCATTGGCTGTCCCTCATGCCTGGAATGCTCACCCTTACTTCCCTGAAGTCACACCTAAAAGCCCACCCTCTACAATAAGCTTTTTCCAGTTTTCTTCATCTTCATTCCTTCCCTTTCTTGATTAGTTCAAATTTATCCTAGATACAGCAGACCTCCACATAACTGCTTGCCTATTTTCTTCCCCACTCGATTGCAAATTCCTTGAGAACAGGGATTCTCCCTTGCCTTTCTCTGTATCTAAGGCTCTTAGCATAGTGTCTGGCACTTACTAAGTATTTATTTAAAACATGCTTGTTGACTTGAAGAAGGTCTAGGAAAGAGCAAATATGGGGCAGCTTCAGCCCTTTTGGTATATTTTCAGAAGATTTCCATGCTCCCAAATTCTGAACAATGACTTATTACAGGATTAGAGATTTGTCAATAGAAGAGAAGCGAAAAGCCATGGTGTCCAACTTCCTGATTTCACACATGGGAAAACTGAGGCTCAGAGGTTCAGTGACTTTCCCTGAATCATATTGCTCAAAAGAATTTTAAAAAAGGATTCCAAGTTAGATTTTTCTGCCCCTAAGCCTAGCATTCCCTTCACTACATCACAGATTTTTTTTGTGCTAACAGCCCTCATAAACTTGCTTTCATCTCACTCACCTGGAGTGGAGTTCTTTGGGCCTTTTCGATCCAAGATCCATGATGCTTCCCTTTCCATCAAACGGGAGGTCAAATCTTCTCTGAGAACTGGAATTCCTTGGCATGAAGAATAAGGAATAGATGAGGACAGAAAGAAACTTAAGACTTTACTCCTCTTTAGAGAAAGGGGACATGCAAGCTAGGACCACATGAGGGCTCCTATAGGATTCCTCAAGGATGGCTGACATGATCCTTATTGTTGGAAGTTTGGGAGTTAAGAGGAGATCATGCAGCCAATTTGGAACTAGAAAATTCTGTCTTTGCCTCTTTCATAGAAAGATGATCATATTCCATAGCTTTCATTATGGAAGAAATAGAGCCAACTGGTAGTTCAGAGGCGAGAACCCGGGGCCTGGATTCAAGAAAACTTGAATTCAATCCAGTCTAAAACACTTAGTAGTTGTGTACCCCTTGGAGGGTCACTTAATCTATTTACCTTAGTTTCCTCAACTGTAACATGGGTATAATAATAGCACCAAACTCAAAGGGAATTGGGTTGATCAGATGAGATCATCTTTATAAAGTGCTTAGCACAGTGCCTAGTACATAGGTGTATGTCAATTTATATTCCTTTCCTTTCCTTTCCCATCAACTGTCTTGGAATTTAGGGTAACAATGAAACAAAGATAAAACTTGCTATAAAGGTAGGAGTAAGAATAATGAGTTACAAATTTATGTTTGTCAACAAGAAGAGCTTTTTAAAGACTAGAACCGTCCCAAAGAGAGAGGGGTTGCCTTGTCAGGTAAGGGGTTCCCTTCATTGCGCATCTGCAGGGAAAAGTTGAATGAGCAGTTTTCAGAGATTTTGCCAACAAAATTCCTATTTACGAAGGGGCTAGGCTAGATAACTTTGAGATTAGTTCCAAGTCTGAGATTTTATAAAACTTTCATTTAGTACCTGAAAACTACAAGAAATTGGAAAGATACAGCTTCAGGAGGAACAAAAGAACGTCCCAGCTCCCTAGCACAAAATGCAAAGACTTTTTATTGGGAAAAATGGGGAGCAGGAGGACCCTGTGGAGAGACCAGCATGTCACCTTTCTAATAGTTGGTAAATGCTCAAACCCTGTACACTAGGGAAGGAAAGAAGACACTCGTTTGATGGCAAATTCCAGTTCCCAGGGGAAGCTATACTTACCCACGGAGAGCAGGTTCTGGGAGTTCTCCAGCATCACCTCCTTGTAGAGCTTTTTCTGGGAATGGTCCAAGAGGCCCCACTCCTCCTGGGTGAAGTCCACAGCCACATCCTTGAATGTCAGTGACTCCTAACCATCAAAATTCACAAGACTTAGAGCTGAAAGAGACTGCAGAATTCATCTAGCCCAGCCCTCATCAATGTACAGAAGGAAACTGAAGCACAGAGAAAGGGTTTTCTAAAGGTTATACCATTTATGAGTGTTGGAACCAACATTTTAAACTGTAATTATTAAAAGCCCAATTGAATACTGAGAAAAACAATTTATATTTGTAGTTGGAATAGAGTTGACAGATCTTACTCTGAAATGTTTCTCCCTGTGGAATCAGGGGAAAGGTATGTGTTCTATCAGTGAGGTATAAGAATCTATATATAGGGAAAAAAGAAAGAAGGTGGTGTGAAATTTCTTCCTCATCAGAACTTTCTTTTTTTGGGGGGGGGTGCTAGGCAGTGGGGTTAAGTGACTTGCCCAGGGTCACACAGCTAGTAAGTGTTATGTATCTGAGGCCAGATTTGAACTCAGGTCCTCCTGAATCCAGGCCCAGTGCTCTATCCAGTGTGCCACCTAGCTGCCCCCTTATCAGAACTTTCATAGTACCATGTTAGGAAAAGCCTATGAAGAGTTTGCAAGAATCTGGCAAGTACTATGTATTCTGGGGCTGGGTGGGGTGGGGTAGTAAAGACATTACCTGTGATCACTAAAGAGAGAGCAAAGAAAAATAGGTAATATAGTTAATTTCCTAAAAGTCTAAAAGTCTTATCTACCTGAAAACACAGAATAGGATTCTTAAGAGATATTAATCACAATCTGGACTGTTCTGCGTAGTATGAGCCTGTTATCAGTCATGTGAAGAAGAGTTATTTATGGTTATATTGAGGGTTTGGGGTGACAATAGATAAGATTTGCCACAGCCAAAACATGTCATGTTTATAATTGCTTTTACTTAATAGCATCAATTCATTAATTTTCATATTTTGTTATATATTGTATATAATATATATTTCATATTTTGTTATATATTATTATATATATAAGAGTAACTATGATGGGGACCGGAGGGTTCCTTCATTTATTAAAAATATAATATTTCATTACCTGGGGATGGAAATTGGGCTAATTCATAAGAAAGACATCACCAGTATATAAGAAATTAATAATCCAAAAACACCACTAAAAGTCTAAGACACTGAAGAGCAAGCATCAGGATGATGAGTGAGGAGGCAGACTGATGGATGAAATACAGGAGATTGGCCAGATATGAAAATACCTTGATGCTTGAGAGGTGTTATCTATCTTTCCAATCTGTTACATATAGAACACATTTGGGCCAATGCATTGCTATTTCAAGCTCTCTCATTTCATTGCCTGCCATTTCCGTTAGTGCTATGATTTGCTTTTTCAGAGGTTCTATTATTTAGGAATGATTCTCAATCTTGTGGATAACAGTAGTCTTTTCACTTTCATCATTCTGTAACATATCCAATTTAAGGTTTTTCGAAATCCATATTTCTCTTTTAACTTTTTTATTTCTAAATTACTTAACTTCTGAGCATATAGACATTAATGGTCTTTTCCCACTGTTTTAGATCCCCAAGTGTTTAGAAACCTTTCCTTTTCACTAGGGCCTCCTGAGTCACTATTCTTCATTGCTCCATATTTATACATAGGATGGGCTCTCACTAGAGGAAGGCAGTACTTTTATTGATTGACAATGCATGTCTAATTGTTTCTCTAACTCACAACAGAAGCTATTGCAAACCTCTTCCTTCTCAAACCTCCCACATGCATCCTTCACTACCATGAGGTGAGACCATGAATTCCAAACGTCCGTTTCAGGAGAGAATGCAGCTCGCACATTTCCTCCATTCTTTCCTGATGCCACCACCTTTGGACTTCTCTGAAGGTCTTCTCCACCATTCTCCAGGAAGCTTGTTATTGGGATAACATCATCTTGTACCATTTTATCAGCCTTAGTACTGTACCACATCCCTACCTTCTGCCTTTCTGATTAGAGGGTAGGGCCAAGAACACCAAACTTCCATTTAAGGAAAGAGCTGAGCTCAGACATTTCATTTCTCACATTTTTTCACCTGGCTGCACTACTCTGGGACTTCTGATTAACTTCCACACCCAGTATCTGCTGTGTTCTCCTTGCCCTGGTAGGCTAACTTTCTTAAGTTCTCTTCCCCTTTGAGTCTGTAAACTTAATGAGATTAGGGATTGCCTTTTTTGGCATTAGAATCCTCAGTCTTTAGCACAATGCCTGGCTTATCGTAAACTTGAATGAATGTTTGACTATTGACCACCCAAACACTCTCATCTGAATATCTTACCTCTTATTTAAATTTAAAAATTGAGGCCATTCAATGTGAGTCACCTCTGATCACTAAGTCCTTTCAGAAATATCAATTGCTATCTTAAATTTAACATGCCCAAAATAGAATTTATCTTATTCCCTAAAGCTCTCCTACCTTCCCCGTGCTTTTAAGGGCAACAGTATCCTCCTAGTCCCTGGAGCTAACAACACAGTTATCATCTTTATTTCCTATCTCTCATCCCCCTTATCCAGTCTGCTGCCAAGACCTCTTCCAATCTGTTGCCAATATCTCATTTCACTTTTGAAACATCACTCAAAAAACCTCCTTCTGATGATGCAGCCACCTTGGTGGAGACCCTCATCACCTCATCCCTGGACTTTATCGATAGCTTGCTGGTGGTTTGGCTGGCCCCTAGACTCCCCAATGCACCCTCCATTTGGCCAACGAAGTGATTTTCCTATATTGCAGGTTCAAATGCGTGATTTCCCTACTCAGTAAATTTCAGTGGCTCCCTATCACCTCCAGGATTAAATACAAAATCTTCTTGCACTCAAAGCCCTTTATGACCTAGAAATCACCTGCTTTTACAGTCTTCTTATACCTTAACTATGATGAATGATACCGCCTTCCTTGGCTTTCCAGAAAGAAGACATTCCATCTCTATGCATTTCCCTGGCTGTCCAAATGGCTGGAATCCTCTCTATCCTGGCTTCCTTCAAGACTTCACTTCTACATGAAGCCTTTCCCAACCCCTCTTAATTCTAGTGCCTTCCTTCTTTTAATTATCGCCTATTTATCCTGCCTGAGGCTCACGTGTACATATTTGTTTGTTTGCTGTCTCCACCATTACATTGTGAGTTCTCTGAGGACAGAAATTGTTACTTTGATTCTTTTTTGTATCCACAACATTAAGCTCAGCCTGGTACACAGTAGGCATTTAATAAATGTTTACTGACTGAATGCTTGCATTCTCTTCATCTCCAAACCTTTTCATGTCATCTTCCAGTGGCTCCTTTTCTCCAGTCTCCAACAAAGGACTGGGCCTTGATTTTGCCAAGGAAAGCTCTCTCTACATGGATCTCGGCATTCTCAACCCTTCTCTCAAATTTTCAAAGTTTCTCTATCAGCTGATTCCTTTCCTACTGACTTCAAACCTTTGTGACTCCCCCATTCGTAAACAAACCTTTAAGAGACCCTAACCACCCCTTGAACTATTATTCTATCTCACCTCCTTTTCTTGGCCAAACTCTGGCCATTTCTCAGTGCTAATCCTTACTGATCTCCCTGCTTTCTTCAAACACAGTTGGGCCCCTCTCCTCTAGGTTTCTCATTCATCTGGGTGGTTTTCTCTGCAGCTTTATCTGCCCACACCTTTTCAGTCTCACTAGAAGGTCCATCAATCACATCACAACCTCTTGGTTCTTCTCACCCTCCATTCTAGTGGGATTGATTCACTCCTCATCTCTATGGATATGACTCCTACATCTCTATAGCCAGATGCTGGGCTTCTGTACCAACACCATTTTTTACCTTTAGGAAATTTCCAATTTAACGTCTCAAAGACAACTTAAATAAATTCAGTGCAGTGTATCTACTCAAGGACTCCTATGCCTTCCCCCTCTAGCAAACTTCTTTCTGTAGAAGACAACACCATTTTCCCATTCTCTCAGGTTCAGAAAATCGCCATTATCATGGAATCCTTTCTGTCCCCTACCCACATATACCATCAGCTGCCAAGTCTTGACTTGTCTGCCTTCCAAACATCTCTCAAAGCTGAGCCCTGCCCTCCACTTACACAGCAGCCACCTTCATTCTGAACCTTATCACCTCTCCCCCAGATTGGAAGCCTGTGTTCTGGGATGGGCTTGACTCAAGGTAGACCCTAGGAGTTTAGATTCTTTATGACAATATCAGACCCTCCCAGGTGAGTCAACAGTTAACAGCAAGTCTGCTTAGCCAGAGCAGGAAAAGGCTATTTAACAAGAACCAACATTGAAGAAGAGGATAACTGGTTTGGCTCAATGGTGCTCCCATCAGGCTCTATCATGTTGGCCAAGCATCTGGGCACATCTGGAACTCCTTGGGGCTGTGGGTCCTCAGGAGACTAGGAAGTAAAATTAATAGCCAGAACTTTTGTTCCCTGAGCCAACCTAGACTGGAGAATGATCTCATTACTTGTTAAAGGGAAAACTATCCTCCTTTAGAAGTTAAGATTGTACATGTGGGTCCTTTTCCAATTTGTATGATCTCTTTGGGACACAGCCCTAGAAGTGCTATTGCTGGGTCAAAGGGTATGCATATTTTTATAGCCCTTTGGGCATAGTTCCAACTTGCTCTCCAAAATGGTTGGATCATTTTACAACTCCACCAATAATGCCTTAGTGTTCCAATTTTCCCACATCTTCTCCAACATTTATCATTTTCCTGTTTTGTCACTTTGTTGAAGTGAACAGAACCAGAGGACATTGTACACAGTAATAGCTATGTTGTGTGATGGCTAATGTTGCTAGACTGAGCCCTTCTCAGCAATGCAAGAATCTAAGATATCCCCGAAGGTCTCATGATGGAAAATGCTATCTACATCCAAAGAAAGAACTATGGAGTTTAAATGCAGATCGAGACATACTATTTGCTATTTTTTTTCTTCCTCTTTTGTTTCCTCCTATTGGTTCTAATTCTACCTTACAACATTACTAATGTGAAAATATGTTTAATAGGAATGTATATGTATAGCCTATATTAGAATGCATGCTGTCTTGGGGAGGGAGGGGGAGAAAAATTTAAAACTCAAAAGCTTATGGAAGTGATTGTTGATAAATCAAAATAAATTAATAATAATTTTTTAAAAAAGAATATGGAGGAAGCCCCCCCCCAAAAAAAAAGAAGTTAAGATTGACAAAGTGAATTGAGCCAGGCTGGGACTGGAGTCCGGAAGATCTGAGTTAAAATCTGATCTCAGGAATTTTACTAGCTGTGTGAATCCTAATTTAAGTCACTTAAGCACTGTTTGCCTCAGTTTCCTCAACTGTGAAATAAAAGTAGTAAGAGAATCTAACCTCATAGGGCTGTGAAGAATGTCCACAAAGGGATTTTTGAGAAACCTAACTGACTGAATGTTTTCTGTTATTAAAATCCTTAAAGCTTGCCTGTTTGATAGATAGCTTTGATAGATACCTCCCTTCCCTCTATTACTATAGAACTCCTAGGGCTTGGAAAAATTCCAGGAATTCACCCTTTTTTCTAAATCCAGTCAAAGGAGGCAGCAGTAGCTTAACAAATGCTGATTACTGACTGATAAAGCAATAGTTTTTTGGGTCAGAGTCAAACTGCTCTGGGAAAGATTAAGAATCCTCCTTTTTAAAATAAGGTCCCATTTCTCTACCTTTCTCTCCCTCAGTGTCCTACTACATCTTACCCAAAACTGCTTTATACAATCTCTGGGTCAAGTAGCCCAGGAAAAAACTAAGTTTGTACTTGTAGGCGCATGTAATCAGTGAACAAGAAGAACCCACCAGTCTATTACCTCCTCATAGTGTGAGTCACCTTCCTAAGTGGCTACAAAAGTGCAGTGTACCTGGCTGGCTACATCCTGCACTGCCTTAGCTGACTGTGGCCAGCAAGGACCCTGAAAATGCTTGCAAGAGGATCAAAGAAGATAATATTTATGGAACACACAAGGCGCCATCTGACTAGGCCCACCCACCTTCCTCTCTGCTAACCCCTCGCTCCCTCCTCCACCTCCTCTCACCCTGACACAGACCTCCTGGCTGATATTTGCTTAAGACCCTCTGTGTCCTGACTCTGGGCCTTTCCAATGGTCATCTCTCACGCTTGGAATGTTCTCTCTCCTCACCTCCACCTGCTGGCTTCCTTCAAATCTCAGCTCAAACCTCACTTTCTAAAAAAAACCCTTTCCTGGTCCCTGAAACTGCTGGATCCTTCCCCTCCCCACTACAGTGTCTCTAGCTTTTATGGACACAGATGCCTAAATGTTGTCTCCCACATCAGACTGTGAGCTCCTTGAAGGATGGGGCTGATTTCTCCTTCCTTTGTATCCACAGGAGGTTTGAACAGGGCCTGGCACAGAGGAGCCACTTTCTAAATGCTTTTTGACTTGAACTAAGAAATGGTAAATGGGAGGGATTGAGAGACCTGGGAAGACTTGTGTGAACTGAGGCAGAGTAAATGGATCATGTTTGCTGTGACTGCAAGACTGCAAAGGAAAACAGCTGGGGAAGATGTCGGGGCTCTGCTCAGTCCAGACCAGGTTGGGGGGGGGGCTTTTCCTTGACCTTCAGTTGCTACAAGGCAGAGAGAGAGAGAGTGTGTGTGTGTGTGTGTGTGTGTGTGTGTGTGTGTGTGTGTGTGTATGTGTGTGTGTGTGTGTGTGTGTGTTGGGGCGGGGGGGTGTTAGGAATACAAAAAAGAAAGCAAAGAAATGGTCTATATGTAACAGAGGATAATAAATGAAATGGCTTTCTTGGACAGTCAGGTGTGATGAGGGACAACTTAAAAATCAAACCAGGAGGGCAGCAAGTTGGGGGGAAGTTGTTGCTAGAGATGAAAAGGAGCTAATGAAGCAGTCCAAAACCCAGAAGAGGGCAGGCCAGTGTTATTACTACTGTACTCTATCTTTTTTAACAACCACCCTTGCTGACGGTGTCGAGAACGGGGCTGCCCTGCACTCACCCGCCATGGAGGTCTTGGGGGTCCGGGGACCATTCCCTCGGCCTCCCTGCCTGGCCCCGCTCTTGGTCCTCTTCAGGGGAGGGAGAAGGATCCCGGGGGGAGACGTCTCTGCCTTCACTCCTAGGCAGGGGGCTGGCCTACAAGGATTTACAGGTGAGACCCCTGAGGAGTCCCAAAGCCCCTGGCACTGCCCTTGGGGGAGAAAGTGCAACCAGAAGAGGGGGCAGCAGGGTGGGCATGGTGACCACTCTCCACCCTCTTATTCCTTCTCTTCTGTCCCACTCCCCTCACTGGTCAACCCCTAAAGACCCAAGAGGCAGGAAGGGGCTTCACATCCCAGATGGAGGAAACAGTCAGGCTCCAGGACTCCTGAGTCAGAGCGCTCCCTCCCACAGAGGCTCTGGGCAAGGTCTGAAGGTCAGGCTAGGTGACCCATTGGTAAGGCAAGGGCTGGCACCCCAGGACTCTGGGGAGATGATGGAGTGCCTGGACAGGAAGCAGGGGCAGGGGTCAGGCTTGCTCCTGGTGCTGCTGGAGGGCACTCACCAAGAGGTCAGATGGGAAGGATGAGGCCCCCTGGAAAGGGCATGCAAGCAAAAGCTGGGTGCTGGGCAGGATCCCGGCTCAGACCTCCTGGGGCATTTCACGTGCACAGTAGTTCTGCTTCCTGGAAAGAGGTGACCTCTTAGCACCAAGTCCTCAGGCTTCCTGGTAATCAGCTCAGGGAGGCTCCTCCCAGGCCCCAGGGCCCCACCCTACCCCACCCCCTGAGGCCCCGCATGGCTGGCAAGCCTCCAATGGCACTCAGGGCCACAACCTGAGGACCCTGCCTGCCTGTGGGCCACAAGCCCGGCCCTCCACCTCTGGCCTGTTCACTGGCCTCCAAACTCCTCCCCAGGATTCAAATCTCCCCCCATTGCCTGCTCACCCTGGAGAGCTCCACCTCCCCCATGCCCCACCATCTGTCCTCCTGCCTCCCTACCCGGCTCTGGGACTCCAGACCCCCTCCTCTAAGCAGGATCTTCTGGTCTTTTCCCATCTCTTTGGTGCTCCTCTCACCTTCTTCTTCCTCCTCACCAGAGTATCCAGGCCCTGTGTCCCTCCTGGCTCTCCCACCCATTCCCCACAGGCAGAAAATGGAATTCGTTGTCTTCTCTGCTTTAGAAACATCTGTTTTCTTTTTTTAATGCCTTATTTCTTCCCCAATTACATGTAAAAACAATTTTAACATTCTTTTTCTCAAATTTTGAGTTCCAAATTCTCTTCCAACCTCCTTCCCCTCCCCCATTGAGAAGGCAAGCAATTAACATACATTATACATATGTAGTCATACAAAACCTGTTTCCATGTAAGTCATGCTGTGAAAGAAAACACAGACAACCCTCCCCCCCATAATGAAAATAAAGAAAAAGTATCTTTGATCTGCCTTCAGACTCCATCAGTTCTTTCTCTTTCATCATAAGTCCTTCTGAATGGTCTTGGATCATTGTATTGCTGAGAATAGCTAAATCATTCACAATAGATTATTGTACGATATTGCTATTATTGTGTACAATATTCTCCTAGTTCTGCTCATTTCATTTTGCATCATTTCACACGAGTCTCTCCAGGTTTTTCCGAGAGCATCCTGCCCATCATTTCTTTTTCTTTTTTCTTTTTTTCTTTTTTTGGTGAAGCAATTGGGGTTCAGTGACTTGCCCAGAGTCACACAACAGCTGGTAAGTGTTATGTGTCTGAGGGCAGATTTGAACTCAGGTCCTCCTGACTCCAGGGCTGACGCTCTGTCCACTGCGCCATCTAGCTGCCCCTGTTCATCATTTCTTCTAACCCAACAGTATTCCATCACAATCATACACAACAACTTGTCCAGCCATTCCCCAATTGATGGCACCATTAAAGAACTGCTATAAATATTTTTGTACATACTTTTGTTTTTTATCTCTTTGGGATACAGACATAGTAGTGGTCAGAGGATATTCACCATGTTATAACCCTTTTGGCACAGTTCCAAATTGCTCTATAGAGTGGTTGAATCAGTATACAACTTCACCAATAGTACATTAGTGTTTTAGTTTTCCCACATCCCCTCCAACATTTATTATTTTCCTTTTCTGTCCTATTAGCCAATTTGATAGGTATATGGTCATAGCTCAGAAGTGTTTTAATTTGCATTTCTCTAATCAATAGTGATTTCGAGCATGTTTTTCATATGACTATAGGTAGCTTTGATTACTTTTTCTGAAAACTGGCTGTTCATGTCCTTTGACCATTTATCAGTTGAGGAATGGTTCTTATTTTTATAAATTTGACTCAGTTTTCCATGTATTTGAGAGATGAGGTCTTTATCAGAGAAACTTGCTGTAAAAATTTTTTTTCACAGTAATGATTACTATGTCTTTCTCTCCATTCTATTTCCCCCATTTATCCTACTGTCTCTCTCTCTCCTTTAACCCTGTCCGTTGTCAAAAGTGTTTGGCTTCTGACTTTTATCTCCCTCAATCGGCCCTCCTTTCTATCATCCCTCTTCCCTTCTCTTGTCCCCTTCCCCTCCTACTCTCCTGTATTGTAATATAGATTTCTATACCCACCTGAGTGTGTATTGTATTTCCTCTTTGAGCCAATTCTGATGAGAGTAAGGTTCATGAGCTCCCCTCCCCCTGTTCCTGCATCCCTCCACTGTAAAATTTCTCTTGGAACTCTTTTATGTCATATAATTTATCCCATTCTACCTCTCCCTTTTCCCTTCTCCCAGGGCATTCTTCTTTCTTACCTCTTAATTTTATTTTTTAGACTAGCATCCCATCATGTTCAACTCACACCTGTGCCCTCTGTTTATATATACTCCAAACTGCCCTAGTATTGAAAAAGTTTGTAGGAGTTACAAGTGTCATTTTCCCATGTAGAAATATAAACAGTTTAACCTTATTGAATCCCTTGATTTCTCTTTCCTGTTGACCTTTTTATATTTCTTTTGAGTTTTGTATTTAAAAGTCCGACTTCCTGTTCAGCTCTGGTCTTTTCATCAGGAGGTTTGAAAACTGTCAGTTTCACGGAATATCCATTTTTCCCCCTGAAGGATTATGTTCAGTTTTGCTATGTAGGTGATTCTTGGTTCTCATCCTACCACTTATGCCTTCTGTAATATCATATTCCAGGCCCTCTGATCCTTTATGGTAGAAACTGCTACATCTTGTGCTATTCTGATTATGGCTCCCTGATATTTGAACTATTTCTCTTTGCTGGCTTGTAATATTTTCTCCTTGACCTGGGAGCTCTGGAATTTGGCTATAATATTCCCAGAGCCTCAGGGGTGGGGCAGGTGGGGCTCTGGGGCCTGGGAGGAACCTCCCTGAGTAGATTCATTTTAGGATCTCTTTTAGGAAGTGAATGGTGGATTCTTTCAATTTCTATTTTACCCTCTGGTCCTAGAATATCAAGCAGTTTTCCCAGATAATTTCTTGAAAAATGATATCTAGGCTCTTTTTTTGATCGTGGCTTTCAGGGAGTCCAATAATTCTTTTTTTTTTTTTGCTTTTTGGTGAGGCAATCAGGGTTAAATGACTTGTCCGGGCTCACACAGCGAGTCCAATAATTCTTCAATTATCTCGCCTGGCTCTATTTTCCAAGTCAATTATTTTTCTCTTGATATATTCCACATTTTCTTCTTTTTTTCATTCTTTTGACTTTGTTTTATTGTTTCTTGATGTCTCCTGTAGTCATTAACTTCCACTTGCCTGATACTAATTTTTAAGGAATTGTTTTCTTCAGTTAGCTTTTGTACCTTCTTTTCCATTTGGACAGTTCTACTTTTTAAGGGATTCTTTTCTTCACTGGATTTTTGTGTGCCTTTTACCATTTGGTCTATTTTGTTTTTTAAGGTGTCATTTTCTCCAGTATTTTTTTTTTGTGCCTCCTTTACCTAGCTTTGGACTCTTTTTTCATTATTTTCTTGTATTACTCTCATTTCTCTTCCCAATTTTTCCTCTACTTCTCTTACTTGATTTTCAAAATCCTTTTGGAGCTCTTCCATGGCCTGAGACCAATTCATATTTTTCTTGGAAGCTTTGGATGTAGGAGCTTTGACTTTGTTGTCTTCTTCTGAGTGTATGTTTTGACCTTCCTTGTCACCACAGTAACTTTCTATGGTCAGAATTTTTTTCTGTTGTTTGCTCATTTTCCTATTCTATTATTGCTATTAGTTTTAACTGTCTGTTAAAGTAGGGCTCTGCTTCCAGGGTGGAGGGTGTACTATACCAAGCTTCAGGGGTTTTGTGCAGTTGTTTTCAGAGATATTTCTAGGGACCTATAAGCTTTCAGTTCTTCCAATGTGGTATAATTTAAGGAGAGGTGTTTGCTACTCTCCTGGTCTATGCTGGTCTGTGAGTGACCACAAGCACTCTTTTCTTACCTGGAACTATGAAGAGGGTTCCTTCTCTACTGTGGCCACAAGTTCTGATGTGCTAGTGTGTCTCCTCACCCTGAGACTGCCACCCAGGACTGCAACCTGGATCTGAGTATAGGCAAAGCAACATAATCCCACTCCCAGTTCCAGCTAATAGACCTCTGTTCGATGAATAGCAAGCTGGCCAATGTAGTTGTTTTGTAGAGTGCATGGAAGGGAGGAGGGAGGAGAGTGTAAAGAGACTAGGAAGGTAGGAAGAGGCCAGGTTGTGAAGGGTTTTAGATGCCAAACAGAAGAATTCATATTTGATCCTGGATGTAAAAGGGAGACAGGTCAGCTCATTGAGCAGGAGTATCACATGATTAATCCTATGCTTTAAAAATCACCTTGGCAGCCGAGAGAAGGATGGATTGGAGTAGGGCAAGACTTAAGGCAGGGAAACCAGTTAGAGAGGTCTATTGCATGTCGTGTAAGCAAGAAGTAATGCGGGCCTGCATCAGGGTGGTGCCTGGGTGAATGGAGAGGAGACCTAAATCTCCCCATGCATGTCTCAAATACTCAGAATGGGTCTCATTGGTGTGGATAACAGGGCACAAGACATCCACAGCCGCTCATCCTGTCCCATTCTTACCAATATCATCCCAGAAGTTTACCCCAAGAGGTCACTGAATAGGAGGACACAGTGAGTCTTCATTTCCCTCACATAATCAGCCCAACTTTTTTTCATTTATGCATTTCTTTGGTAATATCTTTTACCCTACTTCTCTATATAACACAAAGGCAGCTAGGTGGTGCAGTGGATAGAGCACTGGCCCTGAAGTCAGTAGGACCTGAGTTCAAATCCAGCCTCAGACCACACACTTGACACTTACTAGCTGTGTGACCCTGGGCAAGTCACTTAACCCCAATTGCCTAAAAAAAAAAAAAGAAGCAGAAGAAGAAGACTGGAAAAAATTCAATGCTGCTACTAAATTGCGTGGTAAAGTAGGGCAGACTTTATATTACTTGAAAGTTATTGGGTCTCGTGTGTTGGGTATGTCATTTATACCAAAGGTGGGGGGTACTAATTCATGGGACGTTGTCCCTGTCACAGAAAGTGCTATTCCCCCACAATCACCATCTGGTTATGTCCCACCTTTGCAGCTGTAGCTTCAGTTCAGTATAATTAGTATGCCCCAATAGAAAGACACTAACCGGGACCAACCCTCGATCCATGACTTTTACCTCCCTGCAAAGTGACTACATTTCATTTAAGGTCAGAGTCTCCCGGGGAATACAACAGTACACCAAGACCTGAATTGTCTCT